TAAAATAAAAAATTAATGTAGGTAAAATTCAATAATATTAAATTACATTAAAAAATATTATAGATATTTAAACACTTAATGTGATTATATATAACGTATATGATTTTTTTCTCTCAAAAAATATATTTGCTAATAAAAAAGAATTGAAAAAAAGTTTATGTAACATTGTGAATATTATTTGTGTATGCTAATTTTATTGATTTAAAATGATTGTGATTAGTTGTTTAATAGTTGTAAAATTCTAAGAATTAAGGAATTCTTACAAGTATGGTTAATTATGAGTTGTTTTTAGTCAAGGTCAAAGTTGACCAAATTGAGGAAAATGTATATGAGATTTTCGTTAATACATAAACTTTATAAGTTCATTTCTTAAGAAAATTAAAGAAAGGAGCTTTGTTACTGGAATCTCTTCCTTCTTTTTCTTAGTCGACTAAAGTGTTCTAAGATCCTTCTTTGAGATAGTTGAGTACCTATGTAGAGATTCAAAGCCTCTGGAGTTGAGAATCAGAGACCATAGAGTGGTAGTGCAAAATTTTTCAAAGAGTCTCATTCTTCCCCTTCTTCCTTTATTTTAAGAGATCGGAGATAAGGAGAGCTTATAACTTTGATTCTTGATGAATGTATGAGTTGTGTACTACCTTATTTCATTAATTGTGGTTGTGATGTTGTAAATTGATTGGTGAAATGAGAAGAATGTGATGTATATGAATAAATATTGGTTGCATGTTGAAATTTGTGGTATATATGAGTTGCTTATGATGTATAATTATGCTTTCTTGTATTGCATGTTGTTTTGGATTGGATTTTACGTAACAAGAGCCAAAAGCATGATTTTGTCAAATGCATAAATCATTATCATGTCAAACACAACTTCACAGCTCTAGGCATGATGCAGGTTAGAGGTTGTCTGACTTGCTAATGTCGTGCACGAGATTGGTAACATTGGGTGTGAGTTAGAGAATGACTCTTTGACTTAGTCACGTTGGACAACATGGGTTGATGGACACCAACGTGGTTGCCTCAAGATTTCTCTGACTTGGTGATACAGACCTTGATTGAGTGACATAAGGCGTGATTAAGGTAGTGGCTCTCTGCCTAGATAGCGTCAGGTGCATGTTGAATGGTGTTGGATATAAGTCAAGTAGAGACTTTGTTTAAATGAGGTCAGACATAGGTTTAGTTACGCTAAGCGTGATTAACATAGGGATTCTCTATCTCATCCAAGCCAAACGTAGGCAAATTAGAGTCGGGCATGAGTGAGTCAAAAGCTCTCTACCTAAATGATATTGAGTATGTGTTGTTGAATGAAAACTTATTTATCTAACTAAGTGTTAAACATGTGATTAGTAGATTGAATTATTCACATGATCTATGTTGTTATATGACTCTAATTCATTATGCAATGATTTGGGATAATGTATAATGATGTTTAAGTTATAAGTTGATTAAGAATGAAAATTGAATTGTATATAGTTGTATGAAGAATAATGTTGAAAGTAGTTGTGTTGTGAGTGCTTGAAGCATTTTATCGTGTTGTGTTGTGTTAATTGACTTAGAATTAGAAGAAAGGTGTTGTTTTAAAAAGATGAATATCCTATTGTGAGAATATGACATTATGGTGCCTTGAGAATCCAATTATTGAAAAATCTTTATTACATATAGAGATCAAGAATTTCAACAAAATGAATATAGAATAAAAGTTTTGAAATCCACAACTAAATAAAATAAAATACAACAAAATGCATACAAACAATAACCGATGACACTCGAGATAAGATACTATTAAAAGGGCTCCGTTTAAATTCTTTAACTTTTCCAAGGCTACTTTTTCCATAAATTATAAACTACTTAATTTTTTACATAAATATTTTAAGTAAAAAATAAATTACTAATAACTTCATCCATAATCGGGCTGTTCACTGTATTTGACTATTTGGATAATTGTTGCAACGGTATTTTTTTTTGTTGGGGCAAATTCTAATGTATAGTTGTTAATTCTAATCAACAAATGAAGATGTATAATTACTTCCAAAATAGAAATACTATTGAACTCTCTAAATTAAAGTCCAATTATGCACTTATTGTAAAGCACAAAGAAAAGAGTTGTTCTCCCGGTACTTTCTCAACTAAAAAGCCTCTTGATTTCTAAATAAATCTTCTCAAGTCTTCATTGAACACATCGTCGTCCTTTATGAACCCATCAAACTTAATTAAATCACTTAAAATATGACTAACTAAATATAAGTAACCAATGTAATTAATAGTAAAATATAAACTCACGTCTTGATAAAGAAATTAATAAATATATAAAAAAAAGGATACTCTCGTGGACTATTGTTTCAATTTTTTTTTTTTTTTTCCAATTTCCAATAAGGGGTACGTCCTTGTCTAACATAATAGGTGTATCTACTAATATAACATGTGTATATGTTAATTAATTATATATTGTTGGAATATAAATAAATTTAATATTATTCAAAATTTAAATACTTATGTCCAAAATAAATAATATCTTATCTCAACATATGTGTAGTAATCAGGAACATATGCAAAGGTTGTGAAAAGAAAATCCAAGATAAACGTAGTTTGAATAATGGAGGCGACAGGCATGAAATGAAGAGGTAGCTAAAGCATGCAGGTACATATAGTTTGTGTTGTCTCCCCACCAAACAGTGGATCCAACATCCAAGGTTAGACCCGGAAACTGAATATCTGGCCAGACACACTGGTCCCCCACACATCCATTTTCAATCAAGACTGCAACCTTCCACGTTCTGCTACAATCCCACACCTGCTGCCTCTGTCCAATTCTCCATTAAACTCATCCAATGTCTCTATTAACTTTTTCACTTTTGCATCATTATCTCTTTCTCAACATTTTTAAATCCTCTTTAAACATCCACATACTGCATAGCAACAACCAAAACAATAATTGACAAATATCTTGTATTTTATTTTTTGTTTGAAAATTAATTGGGAAATTGTTGACGTGAATAAAGAAAAAGAAAGGTAGTAATTTTTGTTAATGTAAGGTAACATCAGGTTTGCGCCTGTCAAGTGATGGATGCGAAGGGGAACAAAATGTTGTGGCTGGAAAATTCGGAGGATTTGCAAAAAAGAAAAATGCAATAATGGAGGGAAAAAACGAGTGGTGTGGAATGATCTCTATCTCTCTCTTGGGTGTACACGTGGCGGGGTTCTTTTAGTGGGGCGGCAAGTGGCGCTGACGTGGCGAAAAGCGCAAAGGTGAAAGCGACAGCCTCTATGCCTCATCCTCGCTCTTTTTCATCCACAACTCTTGCCCAACCTTTCGTCCTTTCCTCTCCTCTCTCTCTCACCTTCCCTAATTTTTCAGATATTTAACCCTTTTTTCTCTCTCACAAATATCCTCTTCTTTTCATTCCACACCTACACTCCTACACTCATTCATTAATTATTATTATTATTATTATTATTATTATTTATTTTTGTTCATAAATAACAAGAAAAAAAAATAATACACACAACCTCTACTATAAATTTAATGCATACTACGTACACCATATAAAATATTTTGTTTTAATTTTTAATTTTTTAATAAATAATCAAATATCATTTTCATGTTATTTATTTATTTTACTTGAATATTGCCCACTTGTATACTCGTGTTGTAACGCTACGTGGTCTCATTTCTACTCGCTCACTGTGGCTGACACCTATCACTTTATTTGTTCAGATCCTTCACTTTAGTTGGTTGGAGACTTGGAGCCAGGTTTTTTTTTTTGTTGATAAATATTTTTTAAAACCAGTAGTGTATTTTAATTTTTCAAGTCAAATTAAAAATAATACACCGCCCCTCATTTAACTTATTAATTTAATAAATTAATATGTTATGGTTAAATTTGACATCTCTCATTTATTTTCGTATGAAACAACAATGTATTGACCAATCAGGTTGTGTACATTAACTTCACATAAAACTCTTTATTCCGCGTAAATTAGTCAAATGCTGCACATGTAGAAATAAAGTTTCAAACACGACCCATTGAGTGCTAATTTGAGATGAGAAACGCACCGTTTTTATCTAGTCAAACAGAGAATGTTGTTTAAAATACAACACTCGTGTATTCAATGTAAGGTGCACTATAGTCTATAACTATACGGTAGGTCAAAATCTGTTGGGCTGTTACCGAGGGGAAATACTACCCGTGTTTATTTATCACATACGCTAATTTACAATTAAATAAGTGTATAAAAAACTATAGAATATATATAGTTATTAGTTAGTAATAGTATATACCAAAAAAATAAAAGCACTGATTATAATATTTATAGAAAGGCAGAATTATCATTTATCTGTATGGAGGTGGGAAAATAATAGCCACGCAAACCCCAAGCGTGTCAGCGGTAGGGGTTGATCCACGCTTAAGCAAGGTCAGGGTTCGAATCCTGCCTTGTGTATGCAGCCGCGTTAAATTTTGGGGCCAGCTATCCTACCCTTTGAGGTGCCTCCAACGTAGCGAGGAGATTAGTCACTGCTGTCGGCGGTGGATACTCCAGGAACGAACCTAAAAAAAAAAAAATAATAGCCACGCATTAATAATGATAAAGAGGCGTGGAACCAGTGAGAGTGCGAGTAGCACTGTAGCAATGGCACTCGCGAGTATCACTGTGTCTGAAATTATCCACAACGCGCTCTGTATTAGTTTTCGCCCACCCAATTAGAAAGCGAAACAAAATTAAAAAAATAAATAAGTAAAAAAGAAAAAGAAGAAAAAACAGAAAAGCGAGAAACAGACGCGACAGCGGAACGCCACGTGTGGAGGACCTCTTTCGACGTGAGCCACAAGATTGCATCGAGTTCTCGAGATTTCGAGGAGGCGAAAAATAAAAATGAAAAAGAAAACTTCTTTTCCTACTTCGAAACAAAATTCAACATCCGACGTGGCACTCTCTCGTTGCTCCTTTTATTTTTTCTCACTTTCCCACTTGGCTTTTATATCTATCTTCTCAACTCCTTCACCCCATTCTTCTTCTTCTCCTTGTTCTATAACCTCGACTCAAAAGCCTTCAACTTTTTTTTTTTTTCTCTCTCTCTCTCTCTCTCTCTCTACAACTTGAGATTTGGAAACGCTTATGGGGTGATCATCGTGGCAAGAGCTTGCAAATTCATGCAGTGGATCAGTTTGAATGATCACGGGATCTCAAAAGCGTTTCTTTGAAGTCTGAGCTCAAAGAGTAGTGTTGGAAAAAGACAAGAGACGAGACAGTGTTTCTGTACAGAATTTAATAGTAGCGGGAGAAGGGCAAGTGTGGAGTTTTGTGATTTGGTTGTTTTTGTTATGTACTGTTGAGGAAGTTGTGTACAAAGAAAGATAAGTTTTACTGTGTTGGTGTTCTTTGAGACAACCTCGGAGGAGAAGATATTGGTATTCACCACATGGCGATACAAGTAAGTAACCATGAGTTTCTTTGTTTTTTCTTTCATATATGCTATAAGGAATTTTTGTGAGCAATCTGGTTTTTTTATTGTACTTGTATGTTTTGTGGTTTGTTCTGGATTTGCCAGCTAAAAGTCATCCGTTTTGGTAGTATATGTTTGGTTCTGTTTTAAAGATAAAAAAAAAAAAAAAAAGCTAAATACAATAATGAAAAACTTTATGAGTTATGATTTGTTTACCTTTTTCAAATATGCAGATTTTAGTTTTATAAACGGGGTAATAATTTTTTATAAATTTTGGAAAAGTAACTGTTGAAAAATGTTTCTGGTTTAGTTAATAGTTTGCTAAGAAGTAAGAACACTTTGCCTACGTGAGATCTTATAATCTTCATCAATGGCGCAATTTTTCTGTTCACTAAAGAATAAAAACTTCAGGGTCATTTAATGAAGAAATCTTGATTGTTGGTTGATATTTACCAAGAGATGAATGATTCTTTGGTGGATGAATACTCTTTGGTTGTGATTTTCATTTAATTCTACTTGAAATTTCTATTGCAAGAAAATTTTTGTTTTATTCTTGATTCTTATTTATTTGCTATTTGGACTGGATGCAGGGCCAAAATGCATTTACTAGATCACGGGGTGGTCTTCCAGTTGGAGATGGAATATCTTTGAATTCTGGTGTGCATTCTGTTGCTGATATTTCACTACATGATCAATTTTCTTGTGGAAATGACTATGCCTTGAAGGTTCTCCTCTCTAGATTCTTATGTGTTTGTAGAATTTTAAATTTGATTTTCACATCTGTGACAGTGTCACCTTTGTTTTAAACTTTTAATCAATTTTATATCTGCATCAACAGGTAAGAAAACCATATACTATCACAAAGCAGAGAGAGAGGTGGACAGATGAAGAACATAAGAAGTTCCTTGAAGCCTTAAAGCTATATGGCCGGGCCTGGCGACGGATTGAAGGTATAATTAATTTAGAATTTTCATATCTTTCGCAAAGTATGCCATAGAGATTGTAGCAGAAGAATATATATAAACTAGTGAATCAATAAGTATGGTCTAAGTTTTTGGATCCTTTTATTTTCACCACAGAACATGTTGGCACAAAGACTGCTGTTCAGATTCGAAGTCATGCTCAGAAGTTTTTTTCTAAGGTTTATTGCTATTCCAATACACATCATCTAACATATTTTAAATATATCATGAGCCATGCCTTAAGTTAAAGTTGTGATGAGATGAACTTAAGATATGCAAAAGTGCAAATTTCCTTGGGGTGAAGTTGAAGGGTTCATCTTAAATTCAATCTAATTCCTTTGTTTTAACTTAATGCAGGTTGTTCGAGAGTCTAGTGGGAACAGCACAGCCTTGGAGGAATCAATTGAAATTCCACCTCCACGACCTAAGCGGAAGCCAATTCATCCTTATCCTCGTAAACTAGTTGAGATTCCAAAGAAAGAAATTTCCAACTCCGAACACCCTCTGAGGTCTAATTCTCTCAAGTCATCAGATTTTGGTCAAGAAAACAATTCTCCCAAGTCAGTGTTATCTGCAATTGTTTCAGAAACCCTTGGTTCCTCTGATTCAGATACCCCTACTAGAAGTTTGTCACCAGTCTCATCCACTAGTGGTGACCCCTTAAACAATTTTCCACTGGCTGACCCCAAAACATCATTTGAGGAAGAAGGGTCTCCACCAAGTTCAGCTCATGATGACCAACCTCTTGTGGTACTTCTTAAATCCCAATCTATTTCATTTTCATATCATCATGAGAATAGTTTTAAGAAAAGATAACTGATTTATGTTCTTATGTTTGATTCTTAAATTTTTTTAAAAAAATACACCGAACACTGTCATTCAATCATAAACATACTAAAGTTACTATCGACGATGTTTCAAGACTTCTAACTAGTTGATAGTTCAAAAACCTTTACTCGAAAATGTATAAAAATTAAACTCTTGATTTTAATATTCAGAAATTGGAGCTTTTTCACAAAGAACGCGATTCTACCAAAGACGATGCAGCAGAAGAATCATCTGGTCGTACTCTCAAACTTTTTGGGACCACTCTTTTGGTAACAGATCCATGTAAACCTTCTTCTCTAACACCGGAGCCATGCAAACCAATACCTACGGCTGCAATGTATCTTGTGCAACTTCAGAATGGATGTTCAAATATTGCACAAGGTCCTGCAAGTATTGTTCCTCCTAGGTGGACTCTTCCCCACAATGCACCATTCATGTCACTGCACAAGGAGCCAAAAGGGAAGCATCTATATTCCAATCTTGGAGAGTATGAACTTAAAGAAGTTCAAAAGGAAGGGTCTTGGACTGATTCCAACACTAGTAGTTCATTTAATGACGGAGACAACAATGAAAAATCAGATGATCAAGCTAAAAGTGTTGTGCATTGCTTTAGCAAAAGGGATGGACAATTGGACCTTCTTGGTCACACTCCACTTAGTGTAACATCATCTATATCTGAGCTAAGGGTGAGACCTAAAACCTATGGAAAAGGGTTTGTGCCATACAAAAGGTGCATGGCAGAGAGAGAAAAGCCGTACTCCCTAATAAGTGATGAGGAGAGGGAAGAGAAACGTATCAAGCTTTCCTTGTAGTACCCTCTAATTGGCTTTTCTTCAAAGCAGTTTCCCTTTCACAGGTATAATGTAACTGTTTCTGTTGCTGGATGATCTCGTATGAGATTGAGAAGAAAGAAACGGGAGCTGAAATTTTTGATATTTCTACTGCATTGTTAATCCTCCACAAGCTTGTATTTGCCTATATCAACTTCAAGACTTGGGGAGTACTATACTATCCAGTGAATTATCCCACTTTTTCTTTATTTTTTTATATTTCTTCAAGCCAGTTAGTAGGCCTTTTGTATTTCTTCAATTTTTTTCCTCCCACCTTCCACTCTCAACCATCCAGTGTCCCCTTTTTAATGCTAATTGTCTTTCAAGTGTAAGTTGCATATATGTATCAGTTACTAGTGTAATTGTTCATATTTATCATATTTAATGGGGGTAAATTATACATGCAAGTTGCATCACCTGAAGCTGAATAAAAATGTACTTAATGCTCATTCCATTTATGACATTATTTTGATTTCGGGCTATCAATATAATTGTATAAGAAATCATGGGACCTCTGTATTAATGAACATGATTTAGGATGTTAGGTTGCCATAAAAATTAAAGTTTGTGTAGGGTCTAAAATGAAAGGATATCGAATAAAATTTTGTTGAACATTAAAATGTGAGTATAATTTATCTCCCTTAAAATGGAATAACTTTTTTTTTAAAAAGGAATTATTCATTGAAAATGCCTAATAAATTTCCTATATGGCGTATGTTGTGGATGTTATGGGCAAGAACGGCCAATCAATCAAAAGTTGAAAAGGTTACCTTTTCTTTTTGTCAGAAACACGGAGAGCAGAGCAGAGATCCACGGGTTTGGTGTGGTTCACCAGATGGCAAGATATTGTTGACCAAGAGAAAAAAAGATAAAAGTTGTTGAAAATTGAAGAAACTTATTAAATAAGTGACAGATTAATACAAACATGCACAATGTAAATAACTTTTTTTATATTTTTTATCATATTGTTATCAATAGGAGTATAGTAATTTTAGTTATGATTTTATATTTAACATAGATATCAAATATGATTCTTGACTTTGATTAAAGAATATATATGTCAAATTATTTGTGTTAATGATTTTTGATAATTAAAGATATTCTAAAAAGGATTGGTTATTTGTTTAAATTGTAATTGTAATATTATTATCAATGAAATTAAATTGATTTGAGTTAAATCTTGTTAGATCATATGTTTTATATAAAAGATAATTCTTGTTCAACTCATAAGAATATTATGATAATTAAATTATATATATTTGCATTTAGTGTCTTTTTTTTTTTTGGAAATATGATTTATCAACCATTAATTTTTCATAATATAAAATTGAGTCATTATTTTATATTTTTAAATTACTGTTTTTTATTCAATTAAAGTTATTTGTATTTTTACCTATTTAAATCAAAATCATTGAATATTAATGTATCAAGGGCTTATTAATAACTAGTATTTTTTTTACGTTACCAAAAAAAAAATAACTAGTGGTTTTACATTTTCTTCAAAGTATTCACCATGAGAAATGAATGAATATGAACATATAATAGCATAGAAATATTCACCAGTATGTGGCTCTGATTCAACAAATTAGATCCCCAATGTTTCCTTCTAACATATCCTACGAGAAAAAAATTCTTGCACTGCTTCTGATGACTCTAATTTCTTCATTTGAAACGTTTGCCCACCTCATATTTCCTCCTCTATGTCTATGGTATCCGAAGCATAGGTGTAATTACAATTAGACATTACCCACTTTGTTTATGTTTTCTGTCTGACAAAATGTTAGAACATTTTTAAAAATAAGCATCAATAAATAATTGACATATCAATGTACCATATTTAGTGTCTAAATGTTCTATTTGTGAATTTTCTTTCATCAAGTTTTTTTACTGATAAAAAAAAATAAAAACAAGTCTTCTTAAAATGTTTTGTTTTGAAGATCTTGACTTATTAATTCCCAGTTCCTCCATTTTTTTTTTTAAATTATCCCTATTCCTTTTCATGTCATTTTCAAAAGCTGGTCCATTAATGAGAGCCTCGTACTAATGTAATGTTACATAGTTGGAAATGAATGGAAAAGCGCAATTACAGTGCGAAGATAGGAGCATAAGGGGACATGATCTTTGGGTGGCAAAGAATTGTAGCCTTCAAAACGCAGATGATATTTGCTTCACTCAGTGGATTGTTAAATCAGATTCTCAAACATTATTACAACTCACATCATTCATACAATCATCCTTTTCATTATTACTGCCTTACAACTCAGCTATGTTTGTCAAATACGTGTCACTGCTTATCACATACCACAACCACAATGAATCATGAAGCAAACGGAGATCTAGATTATGTAGGGCTTCAGAGGAGAAAATTGAAATGATTGCATCCAAATTTATCTCAAAGGACAATCATATCCAATTTGATTTTAAATCATAGGAATTCATTTAAAAAGATTACACCCGTATTCAATAAAAGGATATTATATTATTAATATAATAAGATAGGTCTAATGATTAAGATCAAAAGAGTATACACAAAATTTTAAATTTAAATTTTGTTATTATTATTGAAATTTTGTTATGAATATATATAGACTTATTATTTAGTAAGACTAAAAATATTGAACAAAATATTTATGCATGTTGGGTGATAATGACATAATGTAATTCATTTTTTTTTTACACTTACAATGAGTCATGATTAAACTTGTGTACCTTAACATAAACTTATTTAAGAACAGACGATAACTTCTTTGTTGGTAGCTTTTTCTTTAATAGGCCCCATAGTTGGGCCTTTTATCCTTAAGTTTATACTTTTGGGGCCTACTTTTCATTATTTGAAACTAAAACTAGTATGGGCCTTGACCCTTTTAAGTGAATTACACAGGTTATAGACTTACAAGTAATGATGCAAGTTCATTCACCAAAAAAATTATAAAAGTAATGAGCAAAGTTAGATCCAAAGAGATGAACATGTTTATAATATATTTCTTAATATGATGATCTTTTTAGATGATTAATATGACGAAATTATTAAAACTTGTAAAATAACGGAGCTTTTCAGACCCAAAAGAGCATTTTTTATTTATTTATAAAACTATATCTTACTAATATTGAGGAAATAAATGCATGGTACAGTTTTATACAAGCAAACTTCTTAATAATTATATTTTGACGTCTTACTCTAACTAAAAAAGTATGTGAGTGTAAGTGATAACTATAATTTTTTTTAAATGCGTCGAAGTATGTATTGTTAATTTATTTTAACTAAAAAAAAGCGGGTATAAGTTAACAAATTATGTGTGTCTATGAGTTTATTTGCATACAAGTTTAAAAATACTTTTGAGAGTTTCTCTGCTAGAAAATGCTATTTATTTTTATTAAAAAAAAGCTTTCAAAAACACTTTTAACTTGTATCCAAACAAATTATATATATATAAGATGAGTTCACTTACTCCAATAAACTTACTTGATGATAATTGTGTTATAACTTTATTTGTACATTTTTTATAATGTAAGTCATTTATTTTAATTTAAATGTTAAGATCGAACATTTTTATTCTTACATAAAAGTAACATTCTCATAATTTATAATTACACACGTTCAAAAGTCTACTATAAAAATATATTCAAATATTTATTTTAAATCAAGTCAAATAATACTCGATTTGAGTCTAAATTATTTATTAATAAATTTTTTTATTAGATATAATGATTGAATGTTGTATTAAATTTAAGATGAATCAATATCAAATATTTATGTTTGTATATGTGATTTTTTTTCATCCTCTACCTTGTTTCCTATATTTGGTTTAAAGATTTTAATATATCTTCATAAATAATGACAAGTTCATAAATAATGTCAAGTTTTATAATTGATAATATTAATGAGTTTAGTTTAGTTAATTGAGTAAAGTGTGAGTGTTGTAACTTGTAAATCTTTTTAGCATCCATGTTTGATTCTCATTAAGAAAAAAAACTTTTTTATAAGTTAAATTTACTTTTCATGTATTTAACAAATTTTTTTTTCCAAAAAAGTCTTTATTAAATAGGATAAAACTCATTTTAATAATCTAAATATTTTGAGAGAATTATTTTGTTTTTATTTCAAGACTTCTTCTGCACTAACTATAATTATAAGTGGATGTCATTAATAAACCGAAATATTTCAATGTAGGTGTTATAATAATTTATTTTTTCTTTCACATTCATATTTAACAAAATGGCCATACTTTCTACTTTTTGTAAGTAAAAAGAATGTCTGTCTGAGCCCGGGTTCGAACCGGGGACCTCTAGTGTGTGAGACTAGCGTGATAACCAACTACACCACCCAGACTGCTACGATACTTCTCCTAGTTTGAATATTATTTATGAATAATGATGCTTGTGTTTCACGTTATAATCCAATCACTAACTCTAATCATTAATGAACAGAACTGATCAAACACGAAAAACATTACATTACCCTCCTCGTTTACTCAACCCAAATATATTTGATAATTGATAGAGGACTATTTTTCATAAAGTAGTAACTTTTTTTTATTTATGCAATATAACGTAATAACTAAGATGATATTCCTGTCTGAAGAACGACCCTCGTAGAAAACAAAAACTAAAAGCATCTTTTCCATTAAATACACATATTGTAAAAGTTTTTATAATTAAATTATAATATGAAGATAATTAAAAGTATATTTCTTTCTATTAATTTTGTGTATCAAAAAACATAAATAAGTAAAAAGAAGAAGAAGGAAAGGGAAAGTAGAGTGTGGGTTGCAAATAAAGAAAGCCATAATCATAACCCTTCCTTTCACTTCATTGCTCTCTGAGCTTCACACGGAAATGTTGCCACTCACATTGTTCACACTATTCACACTCTCTTCCTCAGTCACTTCACACTTCTCCTCTCCTCCCTCTCTAGAATCTTCTGCTGCGCCCTCCTTCTCCGAGTGGCGATCCGCGCACGCCACCTACTACGCCGCCGCCGATCCCCGCGACAAGGTGGGCGGCGCCTGCGGCTACGGCG